ATATCCACAATAAAAATATTATTTATTTCGTACAAAAGTGTCATGTTTAACATATAGTTATTTTAATTATTACATTACGTATGTTATAAAAGTTCTGTACAATTTAGTTGTTTCATAGTAATTCGTGTTTCAAAAATATACAAATATAAATAATCACATTGGGTATTTTACATGCTGCGTCAAATCTATTTTGAATAATTACTTTTAGTTACTTTGATCTCTAAGTGCCGTTAATTGTTCCATATATTCGAGGTATAGCCTTTGCCAACGTAAATGACCACCTATTACTGATAACACGTCTTCTAGAAGTTTATGTTTCCTATGTCCCTACACGAAAAATAGAAGCATATAGTGATGTTTACATATAATAGTAATAATATATAAATAAATGTAGATGTAAGTCCCAAGACAATACCAGAATTAAGGGGTCCCATATGCTTCTAGAAGCTGATGTATGACTTGGACCCAAAAGATCATCTAAGATTATCCGTAGACGTTTCTCCAATCCATCTGGAACAACAGTAAAATATGATTACTAAGGCACTTTTTTATTTTGCATAAAAAGTCCCAGTTTTACGATGTAACACGAATACATTGAAAATTATGAAATGGTATAAAAATATATATACCTTGCGTTATTAGAAACGATACTAGAGCCATGAGCCAATGTATGTATTCTTGAGCACTTCCAAGAGCTTTAGAGGCAAGTAACTGTTGTTCCAAATAGGATACTACGCTTGGTGCGCTGTGAGGTAATCTTGGATTCGGTAAAGGATTGCCTGCAGTCCTAAACAAGCCCTCCTGTAAAGAAGCAAGTGGACCTCTGGGTGCGCGATTTCCCGATGTACTTGACGCATTAATAGATGCCCAACGCCATACAGGATCTTGACCATCACCAATCAGCAACCATGTACCTAAAAATATTATTTTTAAATCTATTATATACGTGGGTGATAAATTATTAGCTTAGTGCATATGTTGTCATAAATGTTGTCATCAAACACGACAGATGTAATTTCTGTATTATATTTTCAATTAATTTATCAAAGACTTTTACGTATTGCTAAATGATTACATATTTCGACAGAGCTGCATTGCATTGTAAATATGATTGACGATTCATTCGAAAATAAGAAGCAATGAAAACAGAAATAAAACGACATTTCATGCCCATTAGCTTAATAATTAATATAAAACGTATATACCCATTTCTTTATGATACATGTAAGCTCTAGCATTGGTGAATGCTAAATGCGGCATTCCGTTATATAAAGTACAAGACAACAAAGAAACGCCGGGTACTGCCAAATGTGCTGCAGAAGTCGAGACTATCATTCTGCAAGAATATCCTATTTCCCAGACACGTACAGCACCACAACATGAAATTACCATTACCTAAAAATATTATCAGTTGACAAGCAACAGAGATTATAAAATAAACGAAAGAAGATGAAGAAATTGAATTGATACCGCATTTCCGCCTGCATGTACTTTCGCGAGTGGTGAAGGTGGTGCTAAAGGCGGTGCTGGTCGACTACCTTTCTCAGTGTGAAACGTATGTAGAGTGCCATCTTCTAAGGCAACCGCTATAACAGCTGGCGATGTTGCTAACGCTACAGCACTATATCCTAAATACACATCCCAGTTTGGTTCAGAATCCGTACCTTTGAACACTTGTAAATGAGCTAAACCCTGACTGTTGGTCACTGTTACCGCATAGTGACCAGCTTGTTGAGATAACGAACCGGACGGCTTCAACGGAGGCAGTATGAATTGATTCGCACTTCTTTCAGACACAACCTTTGGTTTTTTACTAAACGAGTGCAGTCTCGGGGTACTTTGGTCGCGACGTTTTAATGTAAGTTTGGACATCGGACTTTCTGTATTGTCCGAAGTTACAGCAGAAGATACGTTAGGTGTAACAACATCGTCTCGTTTCTCTATAACAATTGAACTTTTCACTTGGCTTGTAAATGTTGGTTGACTTAATCTTGCACTTGATGAATCCCTGAGTGAAGATAAATTATTTAGTATACATAGAATACACGGAAATTATAATTATCCAGAGCTGGTATTTAACCCACAACGTGTCGGATGGTGGAGGTATGAACATTGGTGTTATCCGTCTTTTACCATCCGATGTTCTCGTTTCAATTTGTTTATTAATTGGACCTTTAGCAGTAGTTGTAGTAGTAGTAGTAGTAGCAGTAGTAGTAGGTGGATGCGTTATGACTGTAGATGTTTGTGTTACTTGTGTCGGCTGTGCCGATGTTTTTAAATTAAGAAGCTCCGGTGCTTCCATTACATTACAACCACCTTGCACTAATGGTTTACCATACAAACGTTCGTGAAGACTACTCTATAACATAAAGAAAATAATCGTTAATCTACAATGGTTCTAAAGGATTCGCAATTATATGATTTCGTACTTGTTCAGCAGGATCTAATGGTTGACCTAATTCCTGTTGTGTGAATTCGATGAGTACAACGGAGCCGTCCCAAGAGCAAGCGGCTAATCGAAGACCACACGGTGACCAACTAGCATCTAAGACCGAGTGTGTAAATAGTTCGTGTATAACAACTAAAGGTCTTTTTAGAGATGTTAACCACACAGATAGAGAACGGTCACGCGAACCTATAGCAACGCAGCAGTACTGTTGTGGTTTAGAAGAACCTAGTTGCTTCTTTTGTAAAATATTGCCATTGAATCTCTGCCATGTAAAAAAAGAACAAAAAAAGGATACATTTATTTGTCCCTTAGCTAAGACATAAAATGCATAAACGAAACTTAATAAATACCACACATGTAACAGCTTTTCGATGGCCAACAAAGTCTTTGTCCTGCCTCCATCCATCTCTTTCAATTATCTGTGCCGTAGGACCTCCACCATTCATTGCATGCGCTGATACCAAATATTGTCCATCTGGACTCCAGGAAAGTCTTAAGACATGAGTTGTTCCACCACACTCTTCGAATGGTTCTGATATGAGCGTCGCTTCCGTCCAATCCGTAGTACGCCAAACCCTTAATGTTTTGTCATCAGACTGGGAAGCTAAATACTTTCCTACTGGATCCCATGTAACTCCTTTTACAAATCCTGTATGACCTTTCAATACAGCCACGATAGCTGGAAATTTCGACGCATCCCATACAATTACATTATTATCTACTGATGCCGAGGCTAACCACGGACTATGTGGAGCCCATGCTAGGTCAAGCACGTCAGCCTCATGCGAACGTAATGTAGCTATGCAACGCCAAGTTTCAACACTGGATTTTCCACCAAATATTGAACTGCCACCTGATCCACCTGACAATCGCCATATCATGATCAATTTATCTACACCACCAGATGCCAATAATCCATTATTACTCCACCTTACACAATTGACACATGCTATAAATGTATTAAATTAGTAAACNTAACTTTTAATGAAGCTTCATTCTTATCTTAAGTGAATTTTGTACAACGACTTCAACTATTTTTTAAGAGTTTAGTTTAAACAGTTATTTTCTGTATGAGAGAGATTTTAATAAAAGTTCTTTCAAATCGTATGCTTATGGTACTGAACACAAAAAAATAGTGTATACAAGTCAGAAATATTTTTTTAATTAATATCATAGAAACGATAATAATTATAAAATTAGTCATTAATATAACCAATTGAAAATTTAACAGTTTCATTCAAGCCCTGAGAGAAGATAAATAATGTCATACCTTGCCCACCAGTGGCAAATCTTTTGCCATCTGGATGTATATCCACAGAAAATATGGAGTATCCTGAAAAATAAAGATTGTTAGCTAAACGAATTGCAAATGTAAACATTGAAGACAGATCAATTAAACAATACACTTTGTACAAACCATCGTGCGTAACCCAAGTCGGCTTAACTAGCTTCATAGCGTCTTATTTATTGAAACTTTGTAGATTCAATAGTTATTGTCTATAATTCGTTAACTACATTGTAATATGTAATTAAAATTTCTATTTCTTTTTAAACATTACTTCACTTCTCAGCATAACCTTAAACTAGATTAGACACAAACATATACTATACCGGCAACACATTTTACTGAATTTCTGTAAACACGTGAAATTCGTCCATTCCATTATCCATATTCACAGACACTCAGGCACTTCAGATCCGCTACATTAACATCATTCATGCCATATATATAGTACACAGGTATCAATATCGATGTGTTTTGTATATATGCACAGTCGAGCCTAAACTGAACATGTATACTGTACTTAATATAGTTTGTGTATAATAAAATTACTTTGAGTTTAAATACTGAATTAAAGACTTTTAATATAAAAACTTTCCTATGCTATAAAATTAAAGTAATTTTTCAAATAAAACACAGCATCAAATGAATAATTTAATAAACATATAAAAATGTAAATCACTCTGGATTATTTACAATAATACATGAGTATATTTAAATTACAAATGTAGTCTTTTAGAGAAGTATAAAAATGTATTTCTTTTTTATTAATACTGGCAAACAATAAATTTTTACAGCTATTTGTTATCGCAATATATACAATTAATCTGGACTTGGCGCAGTACCTTTTCCAAGTAATTTTTTATAACGTTCAACTAAGTCTCCAATTGAACGTCTTTTCTGTCTAGTTTGTGGAATTTTAGGTCCATTGTTGTCATCATTATTTTCATTGATAAGACTGACGGGTTTATTCAAAAATTCATTCACGACATCTTCCATTTCCGATTTATTTTCACAATCATTACTTTTAGTATCCAAGTTAGGAGCGGCTATTTCTGTACTTTTAGCTGAGATGTCTAGACTGTCCTCAATTTCTTTATCATTCATTTTTTCATCATTCATTTCTTCATCATTCATTTCTTCAATTGCATTTCCAATTGTGGTTGAATTTGCTTTCGAAGAACACGGTATAGACATCAGGCTTAAGTCCGCTGTGAAAAGAAGTTTTACATGTCTGAAAGAAGTTTAAACAAAAGAATAAATTTGAAACAAATTACATACCTTTACTACCATATCGTTTCATACGGTTTGAAAATAATCGGGAATATTTTTCTGTTTGTTTGAACGATAATATGTTTTTCTTCGCTGACACACATTTTTCATAACTTGTTTGTATATTCAATGTGCGGTTGTCGCTATTCGTGCTTGCGATCGTATCATCGAAATTGATTCTGGACACTAATAAATGTTCTCTAAATTTTGATGTACGCGGTGTTTGATACTGTTTCAGACGCTCGTATCTCAAGAAGAGTGATTTGTGTGCAGCTAAAACAAATCATATTTTTAGTCATTCTAGTTTTACATATCTACACCTCAAATAATTTTACAAACAGCTTTGAATTTACCTTTCATTGGAGTTAGTTGTAATCGTTTCTGGAGATCAACTTTTTCATCAGTATGATCTGTATCAATATTAATAAGAGGCGATAATGTAACGAGCATATTATTCATTATAGGCATTAAGGCATCGTCATGAATTTTCATTGTACTTCGTTGACGTAAAATATCTTGTGTTTCTGCCGTCATTTTAGTAACATCTTCCACATATGTCTGAATTACACTTGATGCGTTCTCCAAATCCACACAACTGGCTTTCATTTGTAACGATAAGTCTGAGTAATCCTCTAGTGTACTTAATTTCAATCGTTCATATAATTGCGTCATAACATAATTAAATAATACGACAAAATTATTGAACACTAATTTATCATCTTTATACAATTCGAATAACAGACACTAAAATAAAGAATATTCTTTATATTAGTATTACTAACGGTTCATTATTGAAATTTATAGTAGACGGAGCAAATACTTACTTGTATATCTGGGCAAAATAAGTCTGAAATGTCTGAACAATTTATTTTATTCATGTTCTTTATATCCAATATATTAGCATCATCACTGTGACTTAGTATTATATTATTAATTTTAGAAATAAGCTGTTCTATCCCTTTCAAAGCTGTATTCTTTCGTTGTAGGTAATTTAATTGTTTATTTATATTTTCTTTCCACACTAGAATTAATAGATAATTATTAGCTTGTAAATTAAAAGTTAAAACATGAATGTGTAAATTATATAAAGAAAAAACATGGATCGTGTATGATGCGTAC